AAATGCTTCTCTGGTTGTGGTTATTATAGAAGGAGAGTCTTTGTTTTTGTTTTTGTCAGACAGGGTCTCACTATGTAGCTCTGGAAGTCCTGGAACTCACTATGTACACCAAGCTGTCTTTGAACTCACAGAGATCCCAGAGATCCGCCTGCCTCTGCCTCTCAAGTTCTGGGATTAAAATCATGCGCCACTACACCTGGTTAGAATTAGGTTTTGGAAGAAATGGAGAAAGTGGATTTGTTGGAGACAGGGTATTGACACCTCTGCTATGAATTGCATTGCAAAAATAATTGCTTTACTGATTCCTTTGAGTAATGTTCGGATGTGGAAAGTGTAAAGGCTCACACTGGCTGTTCGATGGAGGTAAAAGGAAGGGGCATGCTAACAGATGCTGCAGCACTAAGCCTGCAAGGGGGGACAAGTGCCGCAGTGTTTGAGGTTCGCAGTGTTGGCTCCACTGACTTGCCTAGTAGCTGTTCCCAAGGCTAACACTTGTGTTCAGGACTGCTTTGAGCTATGGGACTGTGGAAATTAATGAGTTTGAAATGGGGATACCTGCAGTTATTGATAGAGTTTGGGTTTTTTGTTGTTGGTGGTAGCTCTTTAGTTTAGTTTAGTTTAGTTTAGTTTTGTGTTGTTTTGTTTTTGTTTTTGTTGTTGCTATTTTTGAAGGATTCTATTTGTTGAAGTATGGACAACGGCTATGGAAAAGGTCCTGGTGCCGAGTTACATACCCACTGGTGAGGATGAGAGCTTTGTTCACTGACTGGGCCTCATTTATGCTAATTTAGAACCAGGACACAAAAAAATGCACACAGATAGACACCTTATAGTTTTGCCCATAGATCAGGTGTGCCTAGAATCCCCATGCTGTAAAGATTCTTAAGACCCAGTAAAGTCTACAGGAACCACAAAGTGTGTCCTGCCCATATTATGTGGGTTTTGCTGGAAAGTCAGGCTGACATTTCCTCAGAGAACACTGAGCTGTAGCCAGGCCAGGGACCTGACCTGACCATGCACACTCCAGGGCACAGACAGACTATGCCAAGTTTTCATTCCTGGCAGCAGTAGGTACAGGTTCCTACAGGGAACAAGCCTGTGTGAGCCTGAGGAAGGGAGAAAGCCAAAGACACCAGCCTGTGCTTCTCACCTGTTACTGAAACAGATGTAGATGGCAATCAGGGCTTATTTGCAGTAGACATGAGCCTAACAATAATTCCACTCAGTCTAAAGTGTTGTCTTTTGCTGGGCGGTGGTGGTGCACATCTTTAATCCTAGCACTCAGGAGGCAGAGGCAAGTGGATTTCTGAGTTCGAGGCCAGCCTGGACTACAGAGTGAGTTCCAGGACAGCCAGGGCTACACAGAGAAAACACTGTCTCGAAAAAAAAAAAAAAAAAAAAAGAAAGAAAGAAAAAGAAAGAATTCCGTATATAACCCATGATAATAGAATGAGGATGGTCTTTGTGTGCATTTGGGTTTTATTTTGGTTTGGTTTGGTTTTTTTTTTTCGTTTTTTTGTTTTGTTTTGTTTGTTTTTTGAGACAAGGTTCCTCTGTGTAGCCCTGGATGTCCTGGAATGTGCTCTTTAAACCAGGCTGGCCTCTAACTCAGAGTTCTGCCTGCCTCTGTCTCCTGAGTGCTGGGACTAAGAGTGTGTGCCACAACCCTTGGCTGTCTTTGTGTTTTTAAAATTATGTTTGTTTGAGTTCATTGGGGTGTGTGCACAGCATCTGTGTGGACGTCAAAGGACAATTTGCAGGAGTCAGTTCTTTCTAGCATGTGGGTCCCAAGGCCCAAACTCAGGTCATCAGACTTGGTAGCTGGTACCCTAAGCTGCTGAGCCCCGTCGCCAGCCTAAGTCTTTGGGGTTGTTTGGTGGTTTCTTTGCTTGTTTGAAACAGGATCTCACTAGGTAGTCCAGATTAGTCTTGAACTTATATTCCTCCTACCTCACATTCCAAATGCATTGCAGGAACACTGCCACCACACTAGGTTTATACAGTTTTTTCCAGACCTAAAGCTTACAAATATTCTACTCTATTTGTGGGTTACCTTTTAACTTTCATGATGGAATCTTTTGAATGACACAAATTTAAATTTTAAATGAGAATAAAAGTTCTCATGTTCTAAGTTACAGAACAGGACTGGGAAGGTAAAGAGGAAAAGGGAGGCAGATGTGGCCCAGTTGGTAAAGCACTGGGCTTGCAAGCATGCTGATGCAAGTTCAGTCTCTAGGCCCCAGGTAAAATACACAAGATGCACACGTGTGATCTAAGCAGGTACAAAGTGGAGAGGCTCACTGGATACATGCAGACATCTCAGTGTAGCATAGTGGTTGCTTTAGTCAGGAACTCAAAGATGGTAGACAGCAACTGAGGCCATCCTCTTGCCTCAATATGCCTGTACATGCACGTAAGCAGTCATAAAAATACATTTGTGGAAAGGACTGAAATGTTTAGCCTAGATCTTTTTTTTTTTTTTTTTTTTTTTTTTTGATTTTTCAAGACAGGGTTTCTCTGTATAGCCCTGGCTGTCCTGGAACTCACTCTGTAGACCAGGCTGGCCTTGAACTCAGAAATCCGCCTGCCTCTGCCTCCCAAGTGCTGGGATTAAAGGTGTGTGCCACCTCCGCCTGGCAGCCTAGATCTTTATACATAGGAACCACTGAAAAGTTGGCAGTTATTACTACTATGGTGCTTTCAGGCTGCGTACTGTGGTTCATGTGTGTAGTTTGAGTACTCTGGAGACAGAGGCAGAAGGATCCTTACAAATTTAAGGCCATCCTAGGCTACATAGCAAGTTCAGGCTAGGCAGGAGTGCAGTTGCAGTGAGATCCTATTTCAAAACAAGAACAAAAATACCAACAACAGATCAGCATGTATTCCTGTCAGAAGTTTAATGAAATATTGTTCTGTAGATTGATATGGAACATGTTGTGTCCATCATAGTCACTGAGGGTACATGCACCTGAACTGTGGCATACACAAGCTCCCAGGTTCAGTCCCAGACCTACTTAGGCAAATACACACAAATGAGCAGCAGGGCTTCAAAACAGAGAAGCAAAAACTGAATGTGATTGATTTCATTGGGTTTGAGATAGCCTTGTAACAAAGAAAGCAAAGTTATGTTTCCAAAGAGACTCCAAGGAAAAAGTGCATGTGCACACATATACATGCACACAGGCATATGTACACAGACACGTGTAACACAGGCACATGTGCACACAAGCACATGCCACATGCACACACAGACATACCCATGCACACACACACAGGCAAATGCACACACAAGCATATGTACACACAGGGATATGCACACACAAGCACATGCATACATGTGCACTTACACAGCCACATAGATATGTACATGCACACACAGACCCATACACACATGGGCATATGCACACAGGCAGGCACATGCATAAAACAGGCACATGCACACAGATACATGCACACAGACAGTTATACAGACACACATGTATACACACAGAGACACATCTAAGCATATACAGGCACATACACATAAGCGTGCATATATATGCACACAGACACACAAACACACACACAGGAAAGTGGCATAGACACTTTAGGAATGTGCCAAGGGAAAGGTTCTCTGAGGCTGAGGTCAGTAGGCTGTTCTCTGAACAGTCTAACTTTTGTCTTGAGGAACAAAGAAGCCTTTTGTCCAAGAGCATTTTCTTATCATTTTCTTATTACTTGGTGACAGTCATTAGTCCCCACGCCCTTAGGAGGTAGACATCATTAGGGACCTCCAAATGCCCCCAAGACTCTGTGCTACTAATCTGAGATGTGGTCGCCTCCCAGTGTTTGGGTTACCTGTTAAGACAGTTACTAAAATCTCCCACTAGCCAGCATCTGGCCTTCCATTCTAGACCTTTCTCTCTCTCTCTCTCTCTCTCTCTCTCTCTCTCTCTCTCTCTCTCTTTGATATAAGCTCGAACCATGCAAGTGATTGCTAAAATATTCAAGAGCTGGGACATAGCCTAGTGCTCACATTTGTGCTGACATTGGCAAGGCTCTGGGCTCCGTCCCCAGCACTTAGAAACACAAGAGAGATGTTGCAGAACCCATGAAAGTATAGTTGAAGCAATGAGAGCTTTTGATTTCCTCTTCCCCAGGCTCTGTCAGGCTCCCTCCACAGGCTGTCCGTAAGCTGTTCTGTACACCACTGCCCTATCCAGACTGTGTTCCTTGGTACTCGGCATTGCCACTGTGTTATAAAAGCTCCTGGAAGGCTCTGTCTAGACTTTATCTTTGTGTCTCCCATAACACGTTGATTTATACAAAATTGATTATACTTAAGTGTGCTCAGTAGATGGTGTAATATAATGATACGCTAATGTTTAATATACCAAACATTAATGACTTCTTCTTAATCTTCACCACTACTAAAACTTTAATTGAATATGCCGTCATCCTTATCAGTCCGTCCCCAAACACGGACAAGTTTTCACAGACCTCTGTTTTACCCCATTTCTTTCTCTTCCTTTTTTTCCGGTCCTATTTCTCTTTTACAAGTTTACTTTTTTTTATTATGACAATATTCTCTGCCTTTTATTGCTCCTGCCTCTTCCTTGCTGTGTGTGTGTATGTATGTATGTATGTATGTATGTATGTATGCATGTGCTTCTCAATTGCTGCTCCCCTCTGGATCCTCCCCTCACAAAGTCCTTCCCCTTCGCCTCTGAGAGGGGCTATGTTATGTAGGATTTGGCAGGACAAGGCAGCCCTCTGCTACATATGTGTGTGTGGGGGGGGGCTCAGTCCATCCTGTGTGTGCTCTTTGTTAACAACTTGGTTTCTTCTGTCACCTGCTTCTTCTATTTTTGGCTTTGTCCTTGGCCCTCTAGCCTCCTGCCCTTAAGGTACAGGGCAGGGTTAGATGGGGTGGAGCCCAGCTGAGGTAGGGGTGGAGCTACCTGTTCAGAGCCTGACTGAGAAGAGCCTGGGCTTGAAGGGTCGCTGGAACTGAAGTCTTCATGGCCCTGCCACTGGAGACCAGCCGCCTGGAAGGCAGATGGGAGTCTGTAAGATCAAAAGCTGACTCTCGCCCCTTTCTGCTCCCTCGTCCTCTCTGCCCCTGTTTTACTCACAGAGGCACTCTCCTTACTAATAACTCCCCCTCTTTATCTTTTCCCTCTTTTTCTGTCTTGTTAACTTTCTGTTAGTCAGATACACTTGGTACTCTCTTCCCTGTCAGCTCCTCTGTTGTCTGTCCTCAGACGCTAGCCTTTTCTCTGTTTACCGTTTGTTCCTGGAGTTACCTCAACCCGCTTTCTCCTTCAGTCTGCTCTACTCCCTGCTCTGTTTCTCTTAATATTTGAGTGTTTTCTAAGGACTTGGGTTGAGGGCAGCACAGGCCCTGCCTTCCTCCCACAGGCCCCTTCAGACTCCGCTCCCTGAAGGTCTGTGCTGAAGAGATGGTTAATAAACACCAAAAGGGAAATTAGGTTGAACATTAAATGTAGGAGACTGATCTCTCTCTCTGTCTCTCTCTCTCTCTCTCTCTCTCTCTCTCTCTCTCTCTCTCTCTCT